TGTGGTGAGTTGACCATGGCTACTTGACCATGACCAGTTGGCCATGGTGACTTGTCTGTGGTGAGTTGTCCCATGGCGAGTTGGCCATGGCTAGTTGACCATGGCAAGTTGGTCATGGTGAGTTGAGTTGGCTGTTGCTAGTTGATCGTGGTGAGTTGGCTGTGGCAAGTTAGCCATGGTGAGTTGTCCCATGGCAAGTTGGTCATGGCTAGTTGACCATGACAAGTTGGTCGTCATCAGTTGGCTGTGGCATGTTGGCCATGGTGACTTGGTGAGTTGATTGTAGTGAGTTGGCTATGATGAGTTGTCCCATGGCAAGTTGACCATGGTGAGTTGGTCAGAGCTAGTTGACCATGGCAAGTTGGTCATGGTGAGTTGCCCATGACTAGTTGACCATGGCAAGTTGATCATGGCTAGTTGGCATGGTGACTTGGCCATGGTGACTTGGCGAGTTGGTCGGGTGAGTTGGCTGTGATGAGTTGTCCCATGGCAATTTGTCACAGACCCAACTGCAGAGCTGAACTCATTGCCAAGTGCCCAAAATGCAACCATGTGCCTGTGTGTGTGTGTCTATACAGGCTAGACAATTCCAGAAATGGGTTGTAAGTAGCTCTGGAGATGCCTGTCTTAATTTTGAACAATCATTAAGCAACTGGTCATGAATCAATTGGTTAATTTTTCTCACTGTCAAGGAAGTTTCTCCTTAATTCTAGGTTGCTTCTCTCCTTGATTAGTTTCCATCCGTTGATTCTTGTCCTGCCTTCTGGGGCTTTGGGGAATAGCAACAGCACTTAGACTTATATGCCACTTCACAGTGCTTTTACAGCCCTCTCTAAGTGGTTTACAGAGTCAGCATATTGCCCCCAACAATCTGGCTTCTCACTTTACCCACCTCGGAGGGTTGGAGGGCTGAGTCAACCTTGAGCTGGTGAAATTTGAACTACCAAATTGCTAGCAGGCAGCAGAAGTAGCCTGCAGTACTTCACTCTGACCATTGTGCCACCACAGCTCAAACGGTTGACCACTTCTTATTTGTGGTAGCCCCTCAAACACTGGAATACTGCTATCATGTCACCCTAGTCCTTCTCTTCATTAGACTAGACACACATACCAAATTCTGCAACCGTTCTTTGTTGCTCTTCTCTGCACTCTTTCCAGAGTCTCAACGTCTTTTTTACATCTTGGCGACCAAAACTGGATACCGTATTCTAAGGGTGGCCTTACCAAGGCATTATAAAGTGGTATATGTCAGAGTGTTTGCAGCTTGACTGCTATTATGGGACAATCCAGGAGCAAAACAGAGCACACAGAAACATTTAGACATTTAACAATGGTTACAATAGTTATATCCAGAAATATACGTGGTAGGCAAATACCTTACAAGCAATCAATCTTCTCTACATGGAGAACTCTGCAATGAAGACAGGATACAAGGAGAGAGAACATGCCCTCTAATGGCTGCCTTTATATAAACACCTCTTAAAGGGATAGAACCCATCCCTAGTCTTAAAGGGAAATAACCATGCTATGCTGATTCATTCTTATTGTATCAGCCTATACTGCATCAGCTTCATTGCTGGTTGGCTCTTAAATCCCAAGACCTTAACTGTATATAAAGTGATTTGTATTCACAAAATGCAAATGATTCTCTTCTCCAAAGGGGCACCATGAGTGGTTCTCTGTCTCCAGAAGAGAGGTCACCATTTTCTAGAGGAAACCCGGTTACAAAAGTGTCTCTTTTTTGTTTCAGTTGTTGCAGGGCAGAATATAGAGGTAACCCAACTTCCGGAAACCATATCGGTGAAAGCTGGAGAGAACCTTACTCTAAGGTGTACACTGACTGGAGGAAATTTACCTGGAGGCGTGCGGTGGTACAAAGGGCTGGACAGAGGCCAGCCCCCCATTTACAGCGATAAAGAAGGAGCTTCCAACAGGGGGATCAGGGTCATCGCAGGATCCAACACAGACTTTAGTATCAACATCCAAAATGTCCAGCCTGAAGATGCCGGGACCTACTATTGTGTGAAGTTCAGGGCAGGGGTCCAGGAGAGAGAGCTGGCATCGGGGAAAGGGACTATGGTCTCTGTAATTGGTAAGTGGCCCTCTGCGTTTCATTTCAGGTGTTCTGACCTAGGCTTCCCAAAAGCACGAAGCCGACTCCTCATTCCAATAAAACCCCTTTTATTTCGTTTGCAGTGAATTCCTCTCCAGCAAAGTCCCGGCAAACCGTCATCCAAGAGAGTTCACAACTACAGACCTTTATCAGGCTTGGAGAGTTGCCAGGCCAATAACTTCCAAATGCCAAACTGTAGCAGACAGTACTTGGCAAGTAGTCAGACACAGATCTTCACCTTAATGAATTGAACTAATTGTCTCCTGCAAAGCCCCACTTCCCTTTCGCTCCTCTTTTATTCCCTATGGGAGGGGCCATTTACAGTCCACCTGTGGCTTTACTCCCAAGTCAACCCTTGTTCCTTAGCTGTTCCCTTCTTCTGGCAGCTCTGTGCATGCGCACACTGGGGACAGGCTCCAGCTGTTCTTCTGCCCCACTGATCTCTGACTCCGAAGGCAGCTGATAACTGTTGGACAGCCCTGGCCCCATCTCTGCCTCCGATGCAGAGCCTTCGTCAGAGCCTTCTCCAGACTCTAGGACTGGCCCATGCTCCTCCCCAACCTCCTCACTGTCCGAGTCTGCCGCCAGCTCCACTGACCACTGACGGGCCACAACAGGATGGAGGGAGGTGTTCCCAGTCAACCATGAGACACATGGGAGTAATTCCCATGTTCAAAGTTGAGTCTCTCCAGCCAAAAACCATCTCGTGGCCTCTTGTACTGTCTGTGAGGAACATCAACTGATGTCTCTCTCTCTCTACTTTCTCCTTCAGCCAAGCCATCCCACCCTGTGGTTCTTGGCCCCACACAAAGAATCACGGCGGGATCTCGGGCCTCCTTCAATTGCTCCACAGGGGAATTCTCCCCCCCAGAGATCACAGTCAGCTGGTTAAAGGATGGGAAAAAAATACCGGCTGCCCTGACCAACATCCTGAATTCTGATGAAAAGCAGAGCATCTCGTACCGAGCAGAGAGCATGGTGGAAATCCTGCTGGAGGAAGGCGACGTGAAGTCTCAGCTGACCTGCCAGATCCAACACAGATCATTGGATGGTCCACTCCAACAGACCCTCACACTTGGGGATATCTTAAGAGGTAGGTGAACCGTAGGTTGCAGAGAGATATGACACCCTGACACCTGCCTTGCCGGCCCATTTCTTCTGGCAAGGCTTTCCTGAAGGCCTCTGGAGCAGATAACAAAGCTCTGGATCGATCCAGAGCTGTTATCGGCTGCAGAGGCCTTCAGGAAAGCCTTGCCGGCCACAGGAGAAGACATTCCTGAAGGACTCTCATGGAGAAAAGGAGGCCAGGGGGCGATGCACGCAAGTCAGGTTGGTCAGTGGATGATATCCCCTGAAAATAAGACCTGGTGCCTTTTTTGTGGCAAAAAAAAATAATATAAGACAGGGTTTTATTTTGGGAGAAACGGTACTTATTCGTTTTAATGAACCTTCCTTATATAGTTAATCATTCTTTTTTGCTTTTAAGTTTCGAACCTCTGTTTCTATTAGTTAGCCATTGACAAAACAAATCGCATCTTAAAAAGTTTTCAGTTTCTTCCTTCTCCTTAATTTTGAATGCTAGTCTATCCCTTTCTGCACATTCTGATTTTTTTAATAACATTTTCATCTGTAGGGATCTTTTCATTTTTTTCCACTGTTGTGCAAATGTAATTCTAGCTGCAGTTAACACATGTAAAACTAGATCTGTGTTCCCTTTATTGTATTTTTTTTTTCTGGTAGGAAATATTTCTGGTTTTATGTTGCTTTACCGTTTTTTTCTAACCATGTGTGTATTTTTGTCCCCATATTTTTTTTGCCTTTGGGCATATGATAATACAAACCCAGGGGTCTGATTACATTTCCAACATTTAGCAGACATGTTTAAAAGTTTAAAAGATGTTTAAATCTTTGCCAGTCTAGGAACCAGGAGTCCAACGCTCTTTTGACTGACCTCTTTGGCCTTCTTTGCTCAGTTCCTCCCAAGGTGCATCTTGAGATCAACCCACCTTCTCCCGTCCAGCTGAACGCCTCGGTGATGGTCAGTTGCAACGCAGAAAGTTTTTATCCAAAAGATGCAAAAGTGGAGTTGTTTGCCAAGGATGCCCAAGCCAGAAAAGGAAAGGTTGGCATGAAGACCACGAATCCCGACGGGACCTTTTCCCTCAAGAGCAACCTTGAGATGTTGGCCACCGAAGACAGGAATTTCTCCATGTTCCTTTGCCAGGTCCAGCACGATTCCCAGTCTCCAGTCAACGAAACCACCACGCTCTTGATCAAGCAATCTGAAGACAACAGACATCTGGGCAGTGGTCCAGGAAGTAAGTGTGGGCTTTGAGGTTGCTTCTTCAGAGGTTTTTTTACACATCTGCCTTGTTTCCTTGTTTCATTCTGTCATGTATCCTTTGGTCGTTCTTCATTTGAGGACAACATGGCCCTCCAGATTCTTCCCAAATGTTTGAGTGAAGGGCCTGTTGTTCCAAGATTCAGCCCAGGGACCAGGTGGAGAAGTTCTAAAACTAGAGCAGATTGGCCCAGCTGTGTTGTGGCCCGCTGGCGGCTAGTGGAGCTTGGCAGTAAGAGTCGGACAGTGAGGAGGTTGGGGAGGAACATGGGCCAGTCCTGGAGGCTGAGGAAGGCTTGGACGAGGGCTCTGCTTCAGAGGCAGAGTTGGGGTCAGGGCAGTCTGGCAGTTATCAGCTGCCTTTGGAGTCGGACAGCAGTGAGGCAGGGGAGCATCTGGAGTCGGTTCCCAGTCTGCGCATGTGCAGAGCTGCCAGGATAAGGGAACAGCTAAGGAACAAGGGCCGACTCAGGAGTAAAGCCACAGGTGGACGGTGAATGGCCCCTCCCATAGGGATTAAAAGAGGAGCAGAAGGGGAGGGGGCTTTTTCAGGAAACAATTCATGCGTTGCAGCAGTGTGAAGATCTGTCTGTGCATCTCAAAGACTCTGCGCCGAGTCCTTCCTTGTCAGCACTGCGTTTGGAAATATTTACTTGGCAGCTCTCCAGGCTAGATAAGATCTGTGCTCCTAATTACACCCTTTGAAAGACTGTTTGCCAGGCCTTTGGCTGAATGTGAATGCAAGAAATTCACCTTCATTTAATAAAAGGGGTTTTGCTGGGACAAAGAGTCTGCTTAGGGCTTCTGGGGGAAGCCTAGGTCAGAATAAGCTGAGTATAGAGAACTTCAGAGATGACCTTGAAGAAACGATGTGACAACTCTTAGCAAAACAGAAAGAAAGCAGTAGTTAGAGGGGGTTCTCCTTATACTCTCTGGAAAATAACAGGGAGGGAGCAGAAACATTCTCTGATGGTAGCCTTGATGGTCCACCAGCTCAAGAAGTAGACACTACGAGTAATCTAGAACTGGGCTTTGTTGAGAGAGCTCATTTTAACCCATAAATCTCATCATGGTTGGAGATGCTACAGATCAGGGTCTTCTTCAACCTTGGGAACTTTAAGGCTTGTGGACTTCAACTCCCAGAATTCCACTGTCAGGGTTCTGACGGATACCCTAATGAAACCATGAGCCCCAGCCAAGTTTCAAAAGAAATCCAGTTATTTATTAGGAGCAACATGTCAGCACGTACCCAAATGAAGTCAGCTTTGCCTCATGTAATTTATGGGCCACTTATGACCCTGTTTCCACCCTCCCCCCCAGGGTGTATCGTAAATCACATTCTCCAACGGAGCAGCACTTTCATGGGCTATAGAGATCACGGCTCCCCGGTTGGTCCAGGTAGCCTGGGATACAGCCTTGAAGAAGGTATGTGTGGAATGTGCTTCTGGTTGTGGCTGCCGTGCTGCTCCATCAGTTTTTTCCCCCTCCTGCCTATGGCAACTCGAGAGCAGGCCAGGAATGCTTTACAAGTTGACATCTGCAGCCAGCCAACATTGCAAGCTCTGCTGCCTCCTTGCCCTCTGGAAAGCAGCCCCTCCCTCTTCGGAATCCAGACTACATTCCACCACGTTAGAGAAGGTTTTTATTCCACTGAAGGTCGTTGATGCTTTCTCTTGGTTTTTATTTTGTGAGGTGCCCAGAACCGTGATGGACTGGGACAATCGATATATATACTGTATATGTTTTCTGAGGTTCTCGCGGATATTTGTATGTGGATCTTTGGTGGACCTCCAGCCAATCAGAACACGGCCAACCTCCCAACCAATCAGAACACAGCCAAACCCCCAACCAATGAGAACACACCCCCACCCAATCAGAACACAGCCAAGCCCCCACCCAATCAAGTCACACCCCCACTAGCAGTTAAAAGGAAGAAGCAGCTGCAAGCTCACATTACTCTGAGAAGCACAGAGCAGAAGACACAAGCCTGAAGATGATGAATGAGACTTCATCGAAACGTTGCCTAGATACTTCCAATCTTACGCGGGAGAAAACCCGAATAACCAAAGATCCATATACTGTATATATTTCAACAAACACATTTAGCAAATCAATGGTTAAAGGATCATTCAAGGAAGCCGCCCTAACCCATGCAATCTTTCTGCAGATGGCAAAACCATAGTAATCATTGTGGTGGTGGTGTGTGCACTCCTGGTTGTGTTGGTGATTGCAGTTATCTACCTCATCCAAGCAAGACACAGCAAAGGTAAACATCCGTGTTCAGTTCCCTTTGTGGCTTGAGGGCCTGTTCAGAAAGTTGGCCATCCTGTGGTCATCACCTCTGAGACTGATGCAGGGGTGGGCTTCAAAAAATTTAGCAACCGCTTCTCTGTGCGGTTGCTGGGTGGGTGTGGCCTAGTCGGCCTCCTGCACCACGGCTGGGGGGAGCCGTTTTCACCCTCCCCGGGCTCCAGAGGATTTCTTCGAGCCTCCAGGCAGGCGAAAATGGCCTCCCCGGGCTCTGGAGACTGGAAATGGCCCCGTTTCTGGCCTTCGGGAACTTCCAAGAAGCCCATTTTTCGGCCTCCCAAGGCTCCAGAGGCTTTCCTTGAGCCTCCAGGAAGGCAAAAATGCCCCCCGCTGGCTCCGGAGGCTC